CAAAGGGGCAGGTTTAAGGAACGGTGTGTAAACATCAATTCAGACGGAGTAAACCTGCTCTCACCGCTGGATTAAGTAAATTATTGGCCAAATATTATCCATCCGCATGTAAAAAAATAAATAAAAAGGGCACACATTAGATAGATTACACTTTATTTCAGACTCAGGGTCCAGAGAGACAAATACATAAAATGACATACACAAACAATAAAAGTTCATAGGCCTAGCAATGCCTTACAAAGAGACAGCTGGGACTGGTAGCGTGTGCTACTAAACCTTATGTTGGTTAAACAAACTATGATCTCATTTTCAGAGTCATTAAGTCAACAAATGAATTTATACATGAGATTTCTTAAAACAGTTTGGAAAGTATCGACTCGTGCAACCACAAACATTTCACTGGCACTACTCCATCTCGGTCTCTTTAGCAGTATTCTCATGGCGTCATTATAAGCTACTTGAAGTCTCCGTAAGCTCTTTTTTTTGTAGTTTGACCACAAGTGTGCAGTATAGAGTGGTGTACAATATGCTCTGAACAGAGACATCTTCACTCCATCTGTACACATACCAAACTTGCGTGAGAGACTGTTTGCTTGTGCACACATCCTACGACATTGCCTAGAAATGTCTTTGTCATCGGTCATGTGTTTTGTTATAAAATGACCAAGATATTTTACTTCATCATAGACACCAAGATTTTTGTCAGGCAATTTGAAGTCAGGGAAGTTTAGACATTGTTGAAATGGTGCTCTTATCTGCACACAATAGGGTCATTTTTTTGTGTTTGCCTCTGAGGAAAAGGCCTGGCGTGGTGTGCAGAGCGATCAGACGGGGGGAGCAAAACTGAGCGGAAAAGTAACACCGGCCTTGCGTCCCATAGTAGACTAACAAGCTGTAGTCACATGCTGTAGCCCCCCCTCTCCTCCCCTCTGTGTTACGGGGGTGAGACGTCAGAGCGGCCCGTAGCCCGCTGTGTGCCCTTGGACGGGAGATCTGCTCTGATACACGGCGCCAAAAACACATGCCGGCTTCTGCTAAGACAATTTATTTTCACGGGGAGGTGCGATCTCGGTGCTGACTGGATAAACCCAAAACCACATAACTGCCCGGGGGTCGGTACCGTCGTTGCTTCTCATGCCTCTCTCTTAGGAAACAGTCGGCCTCTGTTCAGCCATCAAATAAAGACAAAAACAAAGAAACTGCAAACTGTAAGCTGCTAACAACACAAATATCCTGTTAACTCCTTAAGCTCCTGGCATCAAGAGCTGTAATGCTTTCAGCAGAATGATAGCAATCAGAGGTCTAAATTAAGGTTCTTCAATGAAGCGCATCATTTGTAGGTTATTTACTTCCCTGTTCCTGTTGGGAATAAGTCTTCGTCCCTGCAAAGCTGCAGATTTGAGGTTTGGAAGCTGAACTTTACAGATTTTTTTTAAACGATAAAGAGAACAAACTGTAATTTAATGTTCTGAATACTTCAGCTCCCAAAATGACAAATAATAATATTAATACTGATAAGAGTTCTGGGTAGATGATGATACAACAACGCCTGTTTCTTAACAAGCATCATTAACACAGTAACCTCCTCAGCCTTGATCCAAAAAAAGGGTTTAACCGTATAAATATCAAACCGCTTTCAGCTTCCAATCGGCCAAACCAGGTGACATTTTTTACATTTTCAATGCTGCTCCAATCTACACCGAATCCACCAAAGCCGAAATAAGGAACAGAGCAAACAGGGTCAAAACAACTAAAAAACAGGTGACAACACTTAATAGTAATGACTGAATAACTGCCACCTCGGTTGATGCCTGTGGTAAATCTCACGTACCAGATGTTTTCCCTTTTCAGAAATAGGGAAGCAGTGCATATAAAGTTCACCATCACTACAAAAAAAGGGAGCCCCCTGATAATGCGCATGTCAAATCAGCTTTTCCCAAAAGCAAGTCGAACTGCAGTGTCTAGCCTTAGCATAATGTTACCATAAATAAAGTTAAACATCATCTCCTTAGAAAAGAAAAAGCTTTATCAGCCTACATTCAGTCACTTGCATGTGTTCACAACAGAAAACCAAACGGGTTAGTGTTTTTGACATCATTCTGAAGTATAACGCCAATATAGGTCCAAATGCATCCGAGTCAATCAAGAGAAATTGCTGACTTGAAATCAAGAGACAATGATATTCACTTTCTCTTTAGCTCTTTTCCCCTAAAGTCCCCTCCTTTACACAGGCCGGATGAGTGGAGGTGTGGGCCAGCCTATCAGTGAACGAGTATCTGTTCAGTTATCTGTCACACCCATCATTACCATATGGTTTGAGGTCAATGCCTGCTAGTGGCTGTCACTGACTCTCTGGCATAATATAAATTCCACATAAAAAAAAAAGAAGGTCCTGGTTGCCTCTACACCAGACGTAATAAATGCTTTCACAGTTTGTTTTTGCAAATCTGTCTTCCTCAAGGCCAGCGCTCCAAAAATGAGCTGGATGTCAGTCCACCCGAGGGTTTAGTCCCTCATGTGTAGCGGAAATAAATAGCTGGTAATCTCTACGTGTTGTGTAAGATTGAAGACATGACCCACAGGCGGTGAGGAGAGCGCTGCAGGAATGAGTGAGGGTATTCTGAACGGTCATTTTGGTTAGATGTCTGAAATAAGGTCTGTGGTTAACACAAGCTAAAGAGATTTTAGCATTTTGTACTACAGTATGAAATATGTAAATTATACCCCAACATGAATGTTGAAGCTTTTATGTGTCTTTAAAAAAAGGCATTTGCTTACAAGTGGCTAAATGAGACTGCAAAATGTCATCACCACCATATCCGTGTCTTCATACTCGCACTGATGCCACCCTGGTGTACTTTGTTTATAGCCTACAGTTAGCTCTTCACCTCTGCCGATTGCATTTACACTTCGAAAAACATAAAAAGGGGTGTTTTGCCTTTGTGAAGATTATCTAGCTGCACAAACACCATAACCTTGTGTTTGCCACAGAGCTTATTTACTGCAATTATCCAAAATCCCATTGGTTTTCATGTGGAGGGAACCGGTGCTATGCTAACTTCTGGAGGCTGTCTTACAGACTCGTGTCGTCATCCCTGCAGCACTCTGTTTGCCTCCAGCTAATGCTGAGCACATTCAATGCAATCTAAATCACCTTTAGCATGAATATGAGCATGCGTAACAGTGTAATAAGCAATAGGCAAAGTAAAGCCTCAGGAGAATAAGGCTGCATGTTTCTTGGGTTTTGTAGAAATCGACAATACAGCCAATCGTTTGGTTTCCTCACACACAACATATTCGACATGTCCCGTCTGGTGAAGTAAGGATCCAAGTGTTGGCCACGCCGTGCACTTCTAAGGCCGTGTCATAGCAACGGCTAGCACTGAATTCCTCAGTCTGTGCTGCCGTTTTGTGTGGTCCTGTTTAACACCGTGCAGGAGTACGGCCCTGTGGTCCAGTTACAAAAAAAATAAAAAAATCCACCACGAGTCAGAATTCAAACCAGTTATCACCCAGCAAAGTGCAATAAATGTTTCCTTATTTTTCTGTTCATCTAAAATACCCTTTGTTGGTCCAACCGGATCTAACCTAAGAATGGTAAACGTGACATAAGCCCGGCATCCCTTAAAGGGTTTAGGGATACGTTTCAATTGATTCATAGGAAGAGAGGGACATAGTTTTGGCCTCTGGGTTTTTGTGCCAGGTCTCCAGTGATGCACAGCAGGAAAGGAGGCCCTGCGCCTGACCTCCGAAGACAGCCAAGCACTCGGTTCCAGCGGTCCAGAGTTACAGCTGTGCTTTCCACAGAAAACTTTGTTTGTCACAGAACATATTTGATCCTCAACTAAAGCTTGAAAATGCAATGTTAACGGCCGTAGCTTATTGTATTTTGTAAAAAGAAAAAGAAGAGAGCGGATCATTTCATGTCACGAGTGTGAACCCTTTGTACCACAACGCCTTGTGTGTTTGCTTTTGTTGCCAACAACTTCCCATGAGCATGTAACCAAGATTACAGAATAACTCATGTAAGATGTGAATGAGCCACTTTTGGTGCCCAACGAGATTTGTTACTCCAAGAGGGGAAGACGAGCTAGACGTGAGTCCATTTATATTAACTACAGCATAGCTGTGCTGGTGGGACTTTGTAATATAGACTCAAGAAGTGGCCCGGTGGAGTTCAAAGTTCCTTCCAGGTCCCACATCTTGGGAGGCCCTGTTTATAAACAAGCTGATAACACTGAGTGGGAGAGTTAGTTTCACACCGTCCCTCGGTCCCCCCTTGTTAGACGATAGGACAATGTCTGTGTACTTGTTGCTTTAAAAATTCCCAGGGAAGGCCTTCAGTTACAGCTTCCTCTCCATTGTTGTACTTTTTTTTTTTTGCAGCCTCCATCCCACCCCTACAATGTGGGCAAAGCCCCCCCGCCCCACAAAAAAGAAACATAATCTCCAGGCTGGCACAGTGGTCTGGACTGTAATCATTATTTAGTCACAGGTATTACAAATATGCAGGGGGGTTAATGTGTCAAACCAGTGAAGGTAGGGACTGGCTGTCTCACTTCCTCTGACCTCTTGACTCACAAGTAGCCAAACCCAACAAACAGCAGCAGCTTTTGTCCTCGTGAGTTTGGTGGAAAGTAGCAGCTTGGTGCCACAACAGCTACGTAAACGTTACGTAATGTAAGATAAACTGCACTTTTAGGGTGCAGCTAGCTGGTCGGCTAGTTTACGTGTTTCACATGTAAACAGAGCGGAGCTGCGGGTCGACCTGTTAGACCTCGTCCACACAGCACCGACAAGCTACAGGCTAGACCTGAACATTAGCATAACACAGCAGCCGGTGCCGCTACTGCCCCCCCGCTCTGTGGGGGGGGGGGGGGGGGGGTCACACACACCACCTGAGTGACGTCAGCCCCTTGATTAGGGGAGCCCAACTGGCCAGGAAACAAAAACGGTCAGTGTTGGATTAAAATACGCGATACCACACGGCATTTACTTACCAAATAATCCATGTACTATCGCTGACCAGTCACAGCAGCACGAACTGAAGTTGTAGTTAATCCCGTTTTTTGTTTTTTGTGCTTCAGTGAGTCCAACATGTAATGGGTTTTGACCACACGTCGCTTTGTATTCCCCGCCTTTCGACAGACAGACAAAACCGAAAAACCCAGACTTGGGTGGGTTTCAAAGCGAGGACTCTCGCCGTCTTCTTCGCAAAAAAAAAGACACGTTTTCAGCACAAACGACCGAGTCTGCTTCTGGCGACGAGGGTCCGAGTGCCTTTCTCCTCACTAAACAGCCCCCTCGTCAGCCGGTCGACTTCCAGTGTTTCTTTTATCACCACAATATCAGTAGAGTGGTTTGGTTGAGGAAACCAGCGAAGCCCCACGCCGCGACGTCACGCACGTCGTTTCTTTTTCGCACGTAGCGTGGTCACGTGACCGAACACATGGTGGCTATTTTCATTCTGAGGAGGAACCGCTGCTAAAACACATTACACGTCTCTGTTGGAGTCTACTTTTCTGCATTTTGAGTAGGGATCAGCGGGCTTCTATTTCTTTATTTGGATTTCAGTAGCACGTGGTTGATCTAATATGTTTATTGTGATTATTATTTACATAATCACGAGGACTATTTTTACGTCCCTTTATCAGTGAAGGATAGATCTACAGGGTAAAACCATAAAACATTTCACAGGTGAATTAGACAGACTCTGATAAACTGGCAACATCTTTAATATGTGTATATATTTTTTTGAATACATACGTTAATTCGCATAATGTAACTTCGGCACCTTATATGTGTATAATATATGGCATAGAAATAAACTTTATTTGTATAGCACTTACAGCACACATACAATGACATCCAATGTGCTTTACATCAAATTGGACAAACAAATTAAAATGCAGAAACACAGACATAAAAATGCAATAAAACAGGGCAGTAATAAAAAATATTTTAATAATCTAACAAAAGAAATAAACTTTCGGCAACATTGAATAAAAGCAAGGCTACTTGAAATACATATTTAAAAGGTTGTTCCCTAAAATAATTTACAGAAGGTACTACAAAATAATATCACCTCATTTCCACAAAAAAACAATCACATTTCCAGCATTTGGGATATCTAGTTATCCCACAATGTATTTCACCACGAGGTGGCTCTGTATTCAATCACAATTTATTCTATTTTCTATTTTAATCGAGTAAACCAACACCAAACTAAAGACTCCATCCATGCGCCTGCACATCCATGCAGTTGCAATTTCCCAAGAGTATTGTTAAGCTTGAAAAGCAACAGCCTGTGACATAATACATTACACAATACATAATGAATGACACAGTACGTACAACCACAGTTCAAAGGCTGGTCCCTCTGGAGGCACGTAGGCCTGAGCACAGACGTTACAGACAGAAGACAGTGGATAGAGGGAGGATGAATACAAAACCTTGTGATGTGTCAGAGCGGCATTTGTGTCACCCTAGATTTGCTTTCTCTATACAAACAGTAAGTGTTGCTCTTTTTTCTCCCTTAAAAGAGCCACATAAAATAACTTACACTAAAAAAAAGAGAAAAAAGGTATAACCTCATTAACAGTCTGACCCAACCCCTCTTTGGACACACTAGATAGAGCCAAATTACCAGAATACAAATTATCAAGGTGGAAAGCAGACACGCAGCCCAGACACACAAAAAAACACAATTATGTTGTATCAACCTGATTAGAGGAACAGTATGAATCACAAGTCTGCTAATGTGATGCGAGCTGCATACTGAAGTAATTCCTGTTCCTCGGAGACCGCCGCACTCGTCTTCAATATTTCATGAGCTGAAGTGGAAGGATAACTGGATGTCCTCTGCACAGGTGTGGAGGATGTGGAGATGCAGACGTGAGAAGATGTTTGCTCTGATGTGCACAATATTCAAGTGTGCTTGTGTAATAAAGCAGTGTTGTCTCCTTCAGAATGTGACATCAATATGGTTGCATTTTTGAAAGCTTTGAGCACTTTCAGAAACATTAGATTGGCATTTTCAATAATTATTTGAGAGAAACAGATTTTTATTGTTACCATTCATGTTATTTTCCTCTTTCTCCTCCAAAAAAGTAAATTCCAGAAAACAACCAGAAGGGGGCAGTATCTACCAGAGTAAAGGACACAGCATCATCTTCCTTGGTCATGTCCAGCATACAGCTTTCCAGGAGGAAATGGTCTGTTCATGCAGCACGATGTCAACATCATAGACAAATAACTGGTGGTTTAGGTTGTGCATGTCTGTCTCTGAGACAGTAAATACAAAATGAGTCATAATATACAAGGGTAAACTCAGTGAATGTAACTCTCAGATTTTATCAGCATTTATTAAAAGAAAACAACGTTCACGTTATTTTAGTTTCAGTATAAAAATATGCTTTTATCACCTTTAAAAGGAATCCCAGCCAATTCCAGAGTCACCTTCATCACCAGTTTTTGTTAGTGGATGGGAACATGTTAGTGGATGGGAACATGTCAGCGGATGGGAACACATCAGCGGAGGGGAACACGTCAGCGGATGGGAACACGTCAGCGGATGGGAACACATTAGCGGATGCGAACATGTCAGTGGATGGGAACATGTCAGTGGATGGGAACATGTTAGCGGATGGGAACAAGTCAGCGGATGGGAACACATCAGCGGATGGGAACACGTCAGCGGATGGGAACACGTCAGCGGATGGGAACATGTTAGCGGATGGGAACACGTCAGCGGATGGGAACACGTCAGCGGATGGGAACACGTTAGTGGATGCGAACACGTTAGTGGATGGGAACATCGAACATGTTTGTGGATGCGAACATGTTAGTGGATGGGAACATGTTAGTGGATGGGAACATGTCAGTGGATGGGAACATGTTAGCGGATGGGAACATGTCAGTGGATGGGAACATATTTGTGGATGCGAACATGTTAGTGGATGGGAACATGTCAGTGGATACATTTCGGATTTTATCACTCTGTATTAAAAGAAAACAACATTCAGTTTATTTTAGTTTCAGTATAAAAATATGCTTTAATCACCTTTAAATGGAATCCCAGCCAATTCCAGAATCACCTTCATCACCAGTTTTTGTTCTTTGAAGCTGTGCATTTGGGTGGCATCACATGTTAGTTGATGGGACGGACCAATATCTTATTTAAAGAGAATGAACCAATACAACGTGAACAGCGGAGTTTAGGGAAATTCATGTCAAAAGTTTCTGTTACTTCCTGGTTGCTAGTAACTGTTAAAGATTTGATTATCAAATAGCTACCTCAGTGCATGTCATCAATAAACCATTCCTCCCAAAATATACTCTCCCACTGTTTTCTGTGTGTTTTTGTATATGTTTCTATGCTGCCTTGCTGCATAATGAATGTCCTCCAGTGTAATAAATATCTCAACAGTATTTGTGTAACAAACTTACATCCAACACACACACACAAACACAGATTATTGATGTGTGTGTGTGTTCTTTGCAGCTACACATATTTCTTTGTTGAGTCATTAAGGAGACTGAGAGACATTCTCGTCCCAGACAGAGTAACTGCCGGCTTCAATGATCAATAGATGTGTATGTATATTTTCAGGTTGATGATTTATATATCATTCATTACTTAACGGTGGACTGAAATAGAGTCATTTAAGTGAGTGCCTTGGTCTAATAGTGCTGGGAGCCAGTCAGAGTGATGTCAGTGTTTTTTTTTTTTTTTAGATGACATTCCTTTCAGATGAAGAAAGATGACAAAGCTTGGTGGAAGATCCCGGGTTAATCTGACATCCAACCGACCGTCTGCATCAGTTGCATTCTTATCTTTAATTGCTGAACCAGATGGGGCTTCATACTGGCCTCAACTTTATAAATATGGTACAATTCCACAGAGCTTTATGTAAAGTTTTTTTAATTTATTTTTTGCATTCTTCTAGAAGGATATGTTTTCTAGAAGAAGTTAGGATTGGCTGCTTAGTTTGTGAATAACACTATATGATGCCCAGTTAAACAACAGCAGCATAGCTGACTGCCTTTTCATACTTCAGTACACATTTGAGCCACGAAAGTGAGCATGGATCAGTGGTTCCCAACCAGAATGGAGCTACCACTGAGGACACTTGGGGTCATGTCCTCTCTATCTTTTCTCGGAATTTTGGTTGTTTGAGCAGCCTAATGGGCAGTTACATACAAAATCCTGGACATGGTGGGGTTTCATGGGCTGATTCCATCAGAATAAATGGAATTAATTATTTTCCTGGTCAAAATTTTGTTCCAGAGAAATAGCATTTAGACATTGTGTGGGAGGAAAATTTGTATAATTTAAAGGAAATTGAATTAAATGGATAATGAAAAATCCATACAGGGGCCTCAGTATTTTTTAAATCTAAAAATTGCTGTGGCCCTGTGTGACCACGTTAGTTTAATTCTAATAAGTTCAGGGCTGTAGTTGTCATTGAGAACAAGATGTCTTCAATATTTTGGGAAATCTGAAAGGGTAGCGCGAACATGTTAGTGGATGTGCACATGTTAGTGGATGTGCACATGTTAGTGGATGCAAACATGTCAGTGGATGGGAACATGTTAGTGGATGGGAACATGTTAGTGGATGGGAACACCTCAGTGGATGGGAACATAGTGGATGGGAACATGTTAGTGGATGGGAACATGTTAGTGGATGGGAACATGCTAGTGGATGGGAACATGCATAACTGGCTAGCTCAATGCCACCGTAACCTATGGTTACAGCTGATAACGCCATACCAACCAACAGCATAGAGCCCATCCTCCGGTTACCCCCTCAGGTAAATACTGTTAGATCTGCCAGCACATTTTCTGTAGTTTGCTAGTGACATCGCCATGTTGAGAGCCATTGAGAGACAAAAGAAATGCTCCCAATCTCAAACAAAGCACCTTTAAGTACAGTTTTGAAGTACTTGTGGTGCATTTTAGAGGCAATAATGTACTCTTTCACTGCGCTTTATTTATTTTATTATTTGATTTATTTGACAAAATATAAATCAATTATTTATTATTATTATTACTATTATAGGTTAAACTACCCATTAGTAGACCTATATAAATACATTAAGTAGCTCCGCCTTCACATTCTGCAGCATTAAAGTGATGTACACATTCATGCATCAATAATTATAATCCAATTATAGAATACCTATATATTACTCTAAATTGGGCCATTCTGCATGATAGGTACGTCTACTTTTGGCACTTTTATCATGCTGTTGTACTTTCACTTGTAGCAGAGGCATCCTGCACTGTGCTCCACATGCAAGACTCATGACAACAGCATGTTTAAATCCTGGTTACAAGTTGTTAGCATTAGCAGCATGAAATGTAATGAGGCATTGCCCCCCTGTTATCTCCCTGCTCACAGATCAGAATCAGAATGCGTACGCATACATGGTATCTGTCTCCGGTTTCCACTCCGCTCTCAATGTACCTACATACAATACACTATTTTACAATAAACTAGGAAAAATAAGAATAAAAAAGGGCAGCAAAAAAGTAGAACAGATGTAGGTATAAACATTTAACAGCTGTATACTCTTATTAAAATGCGGCAAACACTCCTCACAGGGTGGCGAGGCTCGTGTGGTATGTTTTTTTTAATTTTTTTGGGGGGTGAAGCACTCAACGCCACTGGAAAACTCGCAGCACTCTCCGCCGCTTGATTTGTGTTGTCTGGGTGGATTGCAGCATCTTGTAGCTCCGCCCTCGATTATTCAGCCTGGTCGACGTGCGGGTTGCTGCGCAGCGCGTGAGAGCAGAAGCGTCCGACTCGGCTCGGAGGGAGAGCAGCGGAGGAGCTCAGATTAGTGTTGTTGTAGCGGAAAATAAAATACCTTCGCTGCAGTTTCACACGCTGCGACCTCTGGATTTAAAAGCCCACCGCGGTTTCCTCTCATGTTTGACCGAGAGGAAGGAGGGATATAAACAGGGTTTGTGTACGTGTGTGTGTACTCTCACTGCGAGAAGTTTTGAACGCGGAGTTGTGAAGAGTCGTTTTCGGCTGGGCTGACCGAGCTGCCCGCTGCGCTTCCCTCCTGCCACCGGCCGCCCAGCCGTAAGCTACCCGCCGCTGTCCTGCTCTTCCTCCAGCAGCGGCCGGAATCATGGCACTCAAAGCCCGGGCGCTGTACGACTTCAACTCGGAGAACCCCGGGGAGGTGTCGGTGAGGGAGAACGAGGTCCTGACTCTGTACAGCGAGCAGGACATCGACGGCTGGTTTGAGGGGTCGAACAGCCGAGGGGAGAGGGGGCTGTTCCCCGCGTCCTATGTGGAGGTCCTGCGGAACAACGTCGCCTCCGCGCTCATCAACAACAGCAGCGCCGGCGGCGGCACATCTGGGGACTCCCGGTACGCGAACGTCCCGCCGGGAGGTTTTGACGGCTCCAACAAGCCTGAGAATAAAGTCGAGAACTTTTCCAAACCGCTTGCGCCCAGTTTTGCCGCTTTCTCGGGCCCCACGCAGCAGCAGCAGCCCACTTACCAGCAGCCCAGCCAGGGGAGCGACGATGACTGGGACGATGACTGGGACGACAGCTCGACCGTTGCAGACGAGCCGGGGACTGTGGGAGGAAGGTATCATGACTTTGAGGGCAACGGGCCGTCCACTTACAGGGTGTCAACATCCTCCATGTCGAGAGGTAACGCACAGCAAGCGAAAAGCTCCGCCACGGTCAGCAGGAACCTGAACCGGTTCTCGACCTTCGTGAAGTCCGGAGGGGAGGCGTTCGTGCTCGGGGAGGCTTCGGGCTTCGTGAAGGATGGGGACAAGATCTGCGTGGTGCTGGGCCAGCATGGCCCCGAGTGGCAGGAGAACCCGTACCCGTTCGCATGCACAATCGACGACCCCACCAAGCAGACCAAGTTCAAGGGCATGAAGAGCTACATCTCCTACAAGCTGACGCCCACGCACACGCAGACCCAGGTGAACCGGAGGTACAAGCACTTCGACTGGCTGTATGCGCGGCTGGTGGAGAAGTTCCCCGTCATCTCGGTGCCGCACATCCCGGAGAAGCAGGCCACGGGCCGCTTCGAGGAGGACTTCATCTCCAAGCGCAGGAAGGGCCTCACGTGGTGGATGAACCACATGACGAGCCACCCGGTGCTGGCGCGGTGTGACGTCTTCCAGCACTTCCTCAGCTGCAACAGCGCGGACGAGAAGGCCTGGAAGCAGGGCAAGAGGAAGGCGGAGAAGGACGAGATGGTCGGTGCCAACTTCTTCCTCACCATCAGCACCCCCGCGGCGCCGCTCGACTTCCAGGAGGTCGAGAGCAAGATCGATGGGTTCAAGAGCTTCACCAAGCGGATGGACGACGGCGCGCTGCAGCTCAGTGCCACCGCCAATGAGTTCGCCCGCAAGCAGATCACCGGCTTCAGGAAGGAGTACCAGAAGGTGGGCCTGTCGTTCAAGGTGCTCGGCCAAGCCTTCGAAATGGACCAGCAGGCGTACTCCGCCGGGCTCAACCAGGCCATCTCGTTCACCGGCGACGCGTACGAGGCCATCGGGGAGTATTTCGCCGAGCAGCCCAGCAAGGACCTCGACCCCATCATGGATTTGTTAGCTCTCTATCAAGGACACCTGGCGAACTACCCTGACATCATCCATGTGCAGAAAGGTATATCGGCAACACCGCCATACACGTGTTACACACCTCTGACTCACCGGTTTATTACTTTGTGTGTAAGGCTGCTTTCACTGACATCAGGACACTTCTATGTTTAGTTCAATTATTTTCCTAGAGTATAATTAAAGACTAATATTGTTGAAACATTACACTAAAGACAAGGTCAGTATAAACCTGTAACTTCACAAAGGTGTAAAGGATAAATCCAACTCAAATCCAAAACAACCCCCCCCCCCCCAGTGCACACAATGATAACAAAAATAGTACTCGTGGGATCATCAATCTGGACTCCAAACCTCACTTTCCACCACAGGTTTGGCTGAGGTTCAGTGTTTTCTTTAAGTGTGTTTGCTGGCCTGGAAAAGATAGACAAAGTGGCTTTTGAGTCAGTCTGTTTTTAATTGTTTTCAACAGCAAAGGAAGCTGTCAGGTTACAGGTGAAGCTTGTGGCACTTTGCAAAACAAATAGGCCGTGTTTGCATGCTGCTGCTGCCTCGGTTTGTTTCAGCCATGTGTTTGCTTTTCCATTACAGGGTGTCACATACACGGCATTAGTGCCCCGGGGACGGAGAGTGTCACACTCATTTGCAGCCAAATCCCTCATATAAGATTGTCCTCGTGTTTTGTTGTCAATATTGGACAAATATAGGCCGTCCTCCTACATGACCCTCACCACGGCGATTGTGCTCACTGTGTGCGGCAAAATCTTGAGGCACGGCATTGTAGTTGTGTTTGTGTTCGGAGGGAAGTTCTCTTACCACGCGTGGGAAATCTTCTGATGGGAAAAGAGAACGGGATAATGTAAAGGGAACTTGCTCCTCCCCAATGTGTAGGGTCGACCTGCCCCACTTTGTGAACAGTTACATGGGGCTTAGTGCTTCCGTTTGGTAGATCACATCTCTTTACAATCGCATGAAACCTACATCTTTACCGTCACTGCCAACTGGAAATTGAGAAGCCTTTCTGAATCTGTGCCACGTGGGACACCGTACAGGAGACGGGGCTCAATATGCACAGAGGATGATGTGATCTAATGCCTCTCATTCCATGCTTTATGTTCAGATTATGCTCTGACTTGTATTTAAAACAAACTGGGCGATTATTCAATATGATCACATCTGGAGGAAATCATATGTTGTGATACACATTTAAGGCGTCTAATTCGATAATAACAAGCACATACTAACTCCTAATTTCTCAGAAAATCTGATGTGTAATATTTTTTTTTTGTTTTTACATCTCACTTTACATTATAGTAAATATATCGTCTTAATCAGAGTACTCTGTGTTTGTGTCAGTGTATCGCTGAAAATACTTTAAATAGTTACATTAATTCTGGAGAAAATACTCCAGTTCTGTTTATTGAATACCGTCATAGATATGGAGATATGCAATGACCCGTATATTACCAGGTACATGCGTCCTCGCCTGTCGACATCTGTTTATCACTTTGACCCCCCCGCTTTTACAAACACTGGGACCATTCAGTCCACACCATAACAACACCGGGGAAACAGGACCGACTGTGTTTAGGCTGCAGTTGGGACACAAAAACTTCCCCAGTCAGCTCGAATCAAGTTTGCCACGTCAGGCCCCCCCCCCCCCCCAACCACACACGCACATAGCCCAAATAAGGCGAACACGCAAACAGTCCGGTGTGACAACCCCAGCCCTGATGCCACAGATAGGAAGGTCTGAAGTAGCCGCGTGGAGACGTTTATCTAGTCTTGTTTTTTTTTAGTGGACTGAGGATGTTTAGTTCCTCCGGTCCGGTTTAGTTTCTTTTTCTTTTTTTTGTGTGCATCCCCTTTTCCCCCTTAATCATTAAACGAGTGAAGACTGAATTCTTAATTCATTTCTATTAAGGAAAAGTAAAAGATAAAAAATGGATGAAAACCACAAGCTGAATCTTTGTGTAACCTGCTATCTGATACCTCTGAACAGTTAAAGTGCACATTCAATATCATTTTTTGAAGTTCCCTCGTTCTGGACAGCTGAGTGGCTGCTTGCTACTCAAACTGCCTCCGTGTTTCCAGGGAGCGTTGGAGAAGGTACTTGACATTCACTCTCCAGTCTCATCTGGAATCACCCGGCACTTGACAACTGTTAACACAGCATGCAAAATGACTGTAATTAGTAAGAGTAGATGTGTGTTTTTTTTTTTCATAATCATTGTGTGAAGACAATACTTCTGTCTGCCCTTTTTTCCTTTCTATCTCTCGTATATTTAATAAAGCACTTCCTGTCCCGCCCGTCGCTCGCACTCGAGTACGTCTTTCCTGCTGTACCGTGTGGAGGAAACGTGCACGAGTGCTATTATTCTTCTGTTATGAGGTGAGCCTCGTGACATTTTTCTCCCGGTTTGACACCTGAAGGGAGGCTAGGCCACATCCTCTGTCGTAGACCAGAGACAGAAGTGGTCACACGGAAACTTGTCGGGCCCCGTGGGTCAGCCGGGACTCACCGGTGCCGTATTCTGGAGCGATAATCAAGATTTGAGGTCAGTGGGAAAGTCCGATGGCGACCGTAGCGGCTTTAAAAGTGCCGGCTCGAGAGCGTGGTCTCCTCCCTATTAAAGAGGTTATCTCTTGTGTTCATATCACTGTTGCTCTCTTTAGGAATGAGCCTGTCAAAGCATGGCTCGTCGGCCTTCTCAACAACCCAATTCCATTTTTAGCCCCCTGATGTCTGTCTCGTTAGGGCCGCAGACAAGGTTTTATTCGTCCCATTGGAAATGACCAGTGAAACGGGAGCCGTCCCGCAGAGGGACGCCGGACATCACTGCATCGATCGCCACCTCCTCAGGGGCCACCATTAGCCATTAGCGCGGGGCCCATGATATTGACATCATATCTGGTGTTGCTTTTTTAGAAACTTATCGAGCTTCACGTCTTTTATGTTTGTACATTTCTTTTATTGTTGTCCTAATGTGATGCTGCAGCTGTCAGATCAGGACAGGGTTTTGTTGTTTCTGCTCAGTTCAGGCTCTTGAGAAAGAGGAAGGGAGGACAGGGGGTTTCGTAAAAGCTCGCTGTTTACAATCCAAAGATAGAGTTCACTTTGGCCGATTACCAGAGGAGCTGTACTTTTTTTTTTTTTGTCTTATTTAGGGTCATTGAAGCTCAGGAAGCCCTTGAAGATTTTAAGCATTCAAACGGATACATTGCGCTCTGAAAAAAGGTCCTCCTGTAGAGGGGAAATACATTTTGGTCTCTATTTGTCGAACGAATATTGAAATGCAACCAGTTCTTGTTCAAACATTTACTCAGAGCGATAATATTGATGTTGCCTGCAGTGTTTCTTAATAGAAAAAAAACATGTAGTTGACTTTAGACAAGGGCATGTTATCAGTTTAGCTGAAATAATAGAGCGCACCCACTTGCAAACAATGGTTTAGTTCAGTAGATAAAAACGCTCTGATATCAAGTATTCGTCGTCCTGATTAAGTAAAGTATTTCCAAGGAGGAACACGCATCGATCAACCTGCTAAGATAAAACGTCACCGTGAGCTGTGTTTCGTCTGATCTCATCACAATTTGATCAGATAAAACAATGGCCGGGGACTTAGGGAAAGCACCGACGTCGTGATTTCCTGCTGAGTCGGCCACCTCAGCCGACTCTCCTGTGCAAACGCTGCAGTCTGTCTGATGTGTTGTCACAGGCCATTTAAATGTCCTCCGGGGGGGGGTTGCCTCCAGCTGTTCAGGTCACAGACATTGCGGTAGCTCGGTGTTGTGTAACTGGGGATTACGTAAGAGCTGAAGCCGCTGCCTACCAATGGAGTCCAGGAGGGCCGTGGGTGATGCTGGGATCTGTAGTATCTCCAATATATATTAACACAGAAGCATTATGTATCTCAAATACTGGCGGTGTCCAGTGTTTTTCTGCTCAGTCTCTCGGTGGCAGTAACCTGGGACCGCAAAGATGGCTGAAGCAGAAGCTGTGCAGGAAGACGTCAAGACGCAACACAACATTGCAGCTGTTGTGATGAAATGTGGTTTTCTTACTACAAAGTCCCCGCACTTCAGAACATCAAACAACAGACAGGAGTGTCAGTTCATAAACTCTGAATTTTGAAAAATGATAATGAAAAACTGACTAAACAGTTGATTAATGTGTAACTTTAGTTAAAGTGTAACACGGACACCCGCAGCAAATCACTGAGCGTCACAAGCCTCTACAGAAGACCTACATCAATAACCACAGCGCCATGAAAGAATTTAAAACACAACTTTTTAAGAAAAGCTATGACCTTCAAATCTGAAAATCTAATTTAAGACATTTAAATGATTTACCGTAACCGTTTAAAAGAGACTGCGGGAGTAACAGTCGGTATTGTAGCCTACAAATCAACGAAATGGAAATGTAGCGTTGTTACGTCACGTTTCACAACACAAATACTACATAAAGTAAAAATGTATGAAAGCTAATGCTGCTTACGTTTCACCATGTGACGGGGAGAAGAGACCCAGCTCTGCCGCCAACCACCAGTGTAACGTTAGCAAGAAAGCATGGTGGAGTTAACAAGCTAATGTTAGCTAGCTAACTAGTCAACGCTGCTTGCAAAACTGGATGCTTTGAGAACATGAAATCCCGCCGACCAATCCGCTGTCCCTCATCGTATCAACACCACCGCCTCCCTCTGTACATGTATAAGAAAGATAAAATGAGAAAGATAAAAAAATGAGAAAGATAAAACAACTTTTACAAATTTCCACCTGGGGATGAATAAAGTATATATCTATCTATCTATCTTAGTGCTTTATCCACACACTCTTGGCATTGACAGTGATTTACCAGATCTTGTAATGAGCTCAGAGCTTGATTTCAAATCCACAGAAAGGAGAGAACAAGTTTGTGCTGTGATTGTAATGCTACACAGTGGTTACTGAAAAGGTTAAATGAATAGATGCTGTGGAGAGACACGAGGTGGAGGGTCTGATAAGAGCGCGTTCAAATATTTTTATTTCAGAAATTGGATTAGTCCTAAACGGTCGACTCAATCTCAGAATTGGCCTTGAACAGATTATGGCTGATTTTAAACAGTAGACGACTTTTTTGAGCCATTTCCAACCATGAAATGTCAATATTAACACCAGCATTGATGTCCTTCATCGAAGTATAGTCATATCATTTAGTTTAAGGCTTAGGGCTTAAGGGTTTAAGGCTGTGGCTAGCAATTGTAAGTCGCTTTGGATAAAAGCGTCTGCTAAATGACTGTAATGTAATGTGTGGTTACTCTTTAATTAAGAGATTATTCAGGAGATTGTTCGATAATGAAAAAGTCATGTATAGGCCCATTTGCAGCCCTGCTCCACAGACTCGGTGTCTTATTGGCGGTTCCGTCTTCGCAGCAGGCCCACAAAGATGACTCGCAGCAGCTGTGAAAATGATGCATCTGTCTGTAACGGTTTGCTGACACCATGTTTTCTGACTGAACTCTTGACTTTTTCATAAAGTCTCCATGGTAACAACCATTCCTCCTTAGTCCATTAGCGGGCTTTTAAAAGGCAGGAAGCCAGAGACCTGTAAGGTAAACACCTTTGGGATTGGCATGTAAGTCTTTGGACAGCTCTCTCTCTCTCTCTCTCTCTCTCTCTCTCTCTCTCTCTCTCTCTCCTCCCCGTGTTATCTTTGCCTCTCTTTTTGTCATGTCCAATCTGCTGTGCATCAAAGGAATTTCCAAGATTTGGGTTAAACTGCAGCAGACGGAGCTACAGCCAGAAGACAAACTGGGCAGACTTTGTGGGGGATGGGGCGAAAGGTGTGTCTTTTTTTGGGGGGGGGTTAACCTTTTTTTTACTCTTTGTGCTGTAATATACAGTAAAGCCAGACACACACACACACACAGTGAGAGAAAGGAAGCCGTTGTGCATTTCTGTGAACTCTTAAGGGTCGACAGAAGCCAAAAGAGTGCAGGGTTATGTCAGTGAGAGTTCTGTGGTCTCAGATTTCAGGAAAAAAGCGGGCTGAATCAGACTTTCAACAGAGCGCCGGTGACTAATCTCACATGACGAGAAAATCCCATGATAGGTCAATACAGGAAGTTCTGCTGTATGCTTTATTAAGGGCACAAATCACACCTTCACCCGCCGCCCTGAAGCCCTAAACGCTCGGAGACGACATTTATTCAGTGCCAAATGTTTTCAGTGGTGTTTTGAACAATTACAACAATGTCAGTGTTACCAATCTGTAACATCACACCTGCATACGGTAAATCTGAGTTAGTTGCTGTGTGTCAAAGTATCGAGTAAACCAATGTTTCTGCCACATTGACAAAGGCGACAAGGACAGAACAAGTTTCACGCAAAAAGAACATCTCAGGGCAACAGCTCTCAAATGTCGAAAATCACAACTTTACTAATGCGACTTCTGGCTTTACCACCTGCTTCTGCTTAGAATATCACACTCCGGCTGGGTTGGGAACTGTATAAGCACACATACGTCGGCATTCATGTCACACCCCTGAGGATCGTTTCTTTCTTTGACTCCAGCCGTGACATGCAAACGTTGCTAAGTAGTTAGATCAGACAGAAGGTCACAACCGGTTCTTTTCTCTTTCCTTTCAACTCAAAACTCAATACTCGTGACAGTTCTTCCCTGACTCGGTCAGAAAATTTCATCAGTTTGAGTCATCCGTCATCTGCTCCTGGTGTTTTAAACCCTGCATTCTGCTCCCGTCAAAGCTTCTGTCTGCAAATTAGTAGGCTAATGTTTTGGCACCATTATGGCCAAAAAGGTTTGTAAACCATCACGACTTCATCCTCTCATGCCACAATGTGACCACAGTGACGACAGCAAGTAGCTCTTCTTCTTGGTAGAGGGGAAACTCAGAGGTGAAACACTCAGTATGAGTAGTGATGTACTGGATTGACTTGTCTTGCAAGTTATACTTTCTCACTATAACCTCGTCACGGTACATTTAAAATTAGTAACCAAATCTGTAACCACCAAATGACTGTGATGGGAAATATCAAGTAGTGGAAATTTAAAGAGTGTACATTTTTGTTAGCCGTGTTCAGATTAAATCATTTGACTTAGACACAAAAAGACAAAAGCCTTAATTTCTACAAATAACAAGTGTCACCTGTAGGTTTTGTCAGCCTTAGCTAATATAGCTAGCTAAAGCTAAGCTAACTTAAGGAGGCATATTTTACACGTACTTTCTCTAAAACCATAGTTCCTAAATATATCTGCTCACAAGGTGAATTATCTTTAGAAACCGGGTCAATATATATTTGGAAAAAGACATTGCGGTTGAGTTTTTCTAAAGTATTTTTTGGCGCTTTGAGCACCGCAAGCCGAGTATCATCTAGTCCCATTATATTGCAGAGAAGGCCGATATCTCCAAAACTAGGCAACTCACACCAAAACAATCTAGATTGATAAATTGCGCTCCAGGTAAGGGGAAAAATATGTAGTTTTCATTTTGGGGTGAACTGTCCCTTTAAGCTTCATAGAAACATCGTCTCTGACTGACTTTAATGTTTCCATCTGACTTGTTTTAAAATGTGTATGCTCTTGGTGGCTACGTCCACGGTATCGTGGTAAACGACTGAGGCAAAAGCTGCATGTTCCAGGCAAAGAGTCATGTAGAAGACATGGAAATAAAGAAACAACATTGCTCTTGTATAGCAGTATAAAACATGTAAGATATTTTATTCCAAGCAATCTGTGGATTGCTTTACTGTGACATCAGTATTGGAGAAGAGCTAAGTCTTAAGAATTAGACTTGCTCACATTTAGTGGGCAGTTACCCATATTCATATTACGGCCTTGAAATTGCCAACAATCATCTGTAGATGGTATCAAACTGCCAGCAAAATTCCCATAAATGGTTATTTAGAAAAAGCCTATGAAGTGACATAATGCAATAGATATTTTTAAGAGTCGGGCCCCCTCACATTCCCTAACTACAGATGCAGACGTGGCTCCGGTTCTCAGGGAGTTTGGAACGAACTGTTCATCAAACTATTTTCAGCCGCCTCCCTGAAGTTAAACATTCACTGTCAGGCTGTGCTCTTGCATCTTAATAGCAAATTATCTTGAGATGATTCATTTACTTTCCTGTTAAAAAAAGTCAGACGGCCTGTTTGATGAGTTAAATGTTTCTTTTTTAAGACTTCCCACACTGGTAAAAATAGTATCTATGTGATTGAACATTGATAAATAAATGGCGTGGGTGTTTTCCGTTAACGGAACATACACTCTCATGAAGCACTTACGACAACAAAATAAATCCTGATTATAGTTTTTGCCTCTGTCGTCTCCCAATCCAAAAAAAAAACAGGAGCCCTGACGAAGGTGAAAGAGAGCCAGAAGCACGTGGAGGAGGGAAAGATGGACCGGGCGCAGGCGGACGGCATCGACGAGCGCTGCAACATCATCTCCTGCGCCACGCTGGCCGAGATCCAGCACTTCCACCAGATCCGCGTGCGCGACTTCAAGGCACAGATGCAGCACTACTTGCAGCAGCAGATCGCCTTCTTCCAAAAAATCACCGGCAAGCTAGAGGAGGCCCTGCAGAAATACGACGACGCGTAACAGGGAGCGCTTCTTTCGCCCTCCTAAGACCTCGGCGATCGATGGATGGCCGTGCACCCGCCCCTCTGGCGGCCAGTGGAGTTTTTGGGCAAACAACCGCCAGTACCACATACTGGTGAACGCCGTTCAAACCAGCCGTCAAGGGGATGACGTTCCAGTAATATTGACATTCCAACCCAAATCCAGGTTGTTTGTTGGCCACATTATTTTAGGTGGGAGGGCACTGGATGTTCTTGTTTCAGAGAAGACGTGTCATTTAATGAAGTCAGGCCAACTTGTAACACAAAAAACAGATGTAATGAGAACCAATGGTGATGATGGTGCGCATCTTGGTCTGGCGGGTTTGGGGAATTAAATCCATTCAACGTTAAGAGCCTTGTATCTGCGTTTTTAACAGCCTTACAACACTGTTTTGGTTGTTTCTTTGAAACCGACTGAAACTCCAGGAGTAGCGCTTGCTCCAGTGGGCTAAAACGCTGCCTTCTGGAAAAACACTCGAGCACTTCCTGGTATCTCTCTCCGTGGACAAACAGGGACAAACTGTTTACAATCTCCTCCCCCCTCCCGCGGAGCCGCCACCGTCACCACTGTCTCGCTGTGCCTTCTGATTACGTCACTCCGGTCATTTGTGTTTTACTAGTTACTAAAAAGCTTTATATACTGTAAGTTTTGAAATATGTTCTATTTGTTTTTACAAAGCTACACATTTTGCAGGCTTAGAAGAAATACAACAAAAAAGACCACTGTACTTTGTATGAGGGCTGTGTCTTTCACCCCCCCCCCAGGATTGATTTTTAACACTCAAAGTGGACTAAATCAGGATCAAGAGAGGATTACCTGCTTTGACAATAGGAGCCCGTCGCCTTACATGTTGCACAGCCAGCACCGGTGCTTATTAAAGTGACGGGTACGATGGACACTCGCGGTGCCGGATACCTGAATTTGTGTCGACACAACGTGTTTTTTTTCAGGCTTAGGTTTTGGGGTAGTGTTACAGAGGCAGGCTGTTATAACAATGCCGTCTTTTTAATAGCACACTTCTAGACAGCACTGCTGTTTGTTTTTTTTAACCTTCGTGATGTTGGTTGCATCATGAAAATATCAATATAGAAGCAGAGAAAATAAATCCCTCCTTCACAGAAAGCTGTTGGCTTGGTCCTGTGTGTTTTGTGATGTACTCATATGTGATACCTCATGAGCCCGAATCCAGGTTTGTTTGCCTTTTAACGGTCCTTCAAGGTGCCTCAGACACTCGCACTACAGAATGTATGAACTGAGCTGCTCTGCAGGTTTCTTTGGCAGCGTCCCTGGAGGACCGGGGTGTGCCGTATCAGTGTTTCATGCTAAGCTCACGCTCTGTCGGCAGATCTGCTGACAGCGCGTGAGCCCGGCCAGCCATCTGGGACATCTGGCCGCTGTTAGAAGTGCCGGAGCATATGACAGCGAACACGTAGTCAACAGGAAAAGGTCAAAAAAAATATCTGGGTGAGTTTTTTTTTTCATTAGCCGTCATCTCCACCACCTCTAACCGAGATAACCATGATGCAGACCAGTGCTTATTGGAGATAACACGCTCTCCTCGCGCACATGATCTGACTTGTTAGAAAGATTATCACTGTGCACGTAGGGCTGCACAATTAATCGAATTGTAATCGCGATCACGATTTTGGCTGCCACGATTAAATGAGCATGATCGTCAGCGATATTGACTAAAATGCGTGCTCTGCTACATATCAAATCAAGCGTTTCCTCAACTAACAGTCAGCCGACCACCAGGGGGAGAACGAGATGGGAGGTGTCATGCGCGCACCCTGCAGACTCCGGTATTAGTAGAAGAGTAGAGAGACAGACAACAGAACAGAGAGCAGACGGTCACGGGTGTCGTGTGAAAGCTAAATCAAATGTCAGGAGCAGAAGGCGAGGAGCTAGCCCCTCGAAAAGGATCATCGTCCGTTGTCTGGAAGTTTTTTGGATTTAGGCCAAGTGATGTTAACCAAGAACAAATCATATGCACAGAGTGCGTTACAGTTGTGTCTGCGCCGCGTAGCAATACAACTACCTTGTTCAGCCACCTGAAAAATCACCACAAACCACAGTACGACGAATGCATTAAGGCCAAAGCTAACGTTACCTCACTGAATCTCCGTCCATGTCCAACGTCAACCCAGAAAACCATAACAGCGACCCTGCATAGCGCCACAGCGTATCCATCCACCTCCCAAAGACACGCTGAAATAACGGATGCAATCGCATTTCCTTTGGCCAAAGACGTGTCCAATCAATACTGTGAGCAACACACATATTTATTTTTAGTTAGCCCTTTATTTTGGGTAAAAATGTTATTTATATTTTGCTTCAGGTGAATAAGAACCGTATAAGTTTTATTTTGATGTAAAGACGTGTACATTAGCCAGAATGTAGCACAACATGGAAGTGAAAGCAGTGCTCAATTGATTTGATTTTGGGTAAAAAGTGTTGATACTATTTTATTTATATTTTGCTTCTACGAGATGCAAAGATTTGTACATTAGCCAGAATGTAGCACAACAATGGAAGTGGAAGCAGTGTTCTTGTTCATTTAAACGTGAAAGTGCAATAAAAAGATGTTGTCCCTAAAATTAATGAATAATCGTGATAAATAATCGTGATCGCAATATTGATCAAAATAATCGCGATTATGATTTTGGCCATAATCGTGCAGCCCTATGTGCACGTCAACAGTTCTGCTCTGTCCTCCAAACCAGAATACATAAAAACAATACAGTAATACTGATAGAAAACTGCATATTCTCCTTCCAAGGTATCTAATTGATGGAAAATATTTGTATAATAATGAAATAGAGTAAGATACTACTTACTAGTAGTTACTAGTTTACTTAGTACTGTGATAAAATGCTGTTCTCCAAAATATTACAGCTTCTTTATGTGTAGTTAATGAAGCCATTTCCGCAGGAAGAGCAGATGCCTTTTAATTCCAACAAGACTAAGAGCTACTTAAACTAAAGCTTCAAACCCCCGTGTCGGTGCCAAAGGGAAAGTCGTGGGATCACTAAAAGTCATTAGGATGCATCATCTGAGAACCATGAATAACGGCACAAACTTCGGGAAGGTTTAGAGATGTTTCACTGGGGTGGTGGCGTTGGATGGAAAGTCATTAGGATTCATCTTCTTGGCATCTGGAATGTAAGTTGTCAGGACATTTCACAAAAAAAACCCAAAAATGTCAACATGCTGGTAAGCTCCAACAAAGTTAGAAGTTTCCCCCTCTGGGCATCACAAACGCCTGATAAAAATCCCATGGCGAGATATTTCTGGATTTAAGCGGCGGACCGACCGACATACCGACATAGCCATCTGTAGAGCTACACCGCTAGCATAGATAATGATATCCTGTCATGTGGGAACTACATCCGGTTGGATCTTCATCTTCATTATTTTTCAATTTAAATCTTTGGTTTTTCCACTCTCTTCATAAACTCAACAAGATGCACACAGCCTCAGGCCTTCCGTCGATACTGCCAACGCCCGGGGAAATGGGTGCTCCTGTTTTCACATTCTTCCTCTTCCCCCCACAAGCTTTGGTTGTTTTGAATTATCAATGTTAGGCACACATAGCTCAGAAAAAGAAAATTTTGTAATTAGCAATATTAGACCTACTTATGATAAGAACAATATCGCCTTTTAAAGTCGTGCAAAAACATGCAGAGGGCTTTGAGTGAGGTCATCGTCACCTCAGTGACTCAAAGAGAAACCGAGGCAGTTACTCACCACAGTCTAGCATGCAGGAAACAACAGCTCTCGATTCAGACTTGGATTTTTGTTGAAACAGAACAGTGTCATCACAGACGTCAAGTGTGTGAAACCGTTTTGCCACAAGAGCAGCGTCGGACACCAGCGGCCCCTGGGTGCGGTTAAGAGTAGTGAGTGAGGATGCAGCAGGCAGAGTAAAACAGGCAATAAAGTCTGTTTTGAGAAAGAGTGAGTCACCGCAACCATGAGAGGTCCTTGAGCATGCAGCCATGACTAGACACCCAAAATATTATGTAGAAATCTAGATAATAGATAAAAAAAATAGATAAAAACCCATCTAGAAATGGGTTTGTTTTCCCTTCGTTTCAATGGTTGGCACTGAGAGGCAGTTGAGAGCACAGGGTTTCCCCCTCTCATGACCCGGCGCTGACGCCACATCCAACCACATTGCTTTCATAAGGACTGATTCAGCGTCTCGAGATTCTCGTCTAGATTACACCCAATTCCTGTTGCACTCTCACCTCTGATTCCTCAGCGAAACCAAGAAACTGGGACTAAAACCTCTTGTTGATGCTCATTTCTGTTTGTAAAAGTGAACATGCTCCTTCAAATCAATCATCTCTGCTGAGTTCCTACCACAACACCCATGCATCGTTTCACATCCGCTTACTAATACACCCTCGGCTCACCACCTCGGTGCTTAGAGTGCGTCAATTCCCATGACATAATTTCACATTTACAAAGTTTGACCCCGACTTCCTCTCATTGCTTCAGCTGATTAAAGCCTTCCAAATGTCACATCATAATGCCAGGAAATGCCCCGAGGCAAACCACAAAGATTTCACCCCTCATGAAAGCTCTTCATGTAATATTACTATGCTGCAAAAGGAAGTGCAAAAACCAAACACAGGATTTCTGTTAAAGGGAAATGGTTTGTCCTAGGTTGCAGTAACTTATTTCAAGCCAAGGAGTGACTATTAAAAAAACAGGACATGTTGGTTTTTTTTGCACGGTGTGTTGAAACAGCTGCTGTCCGGTGCTCCATATGCACTGGTAGGAAAGGACTCATTAGTTGTTCAAATGTAGATTTATAGTTGTACATTTCAGTGGTAGGCTACCTATTTGTACTTTAGCTTGTTCAAATTACACACTGAGGATTTTGGCTCATTAACATATGATTTTATGACAGCACTCAGGTTGCAAAGTAATCTACCATCAACGTACATTGCACATATTTGATTGGCCACTGGCAGCTGTGGCTCGCCAGATATCATCGTGTTGAGCTACATTACATTTTTTGGCCCGGGCGACCCTTCGTTTTTGCCGGGAAACCCGTGTGTTGAGGCCTTGGCTTGGCCTCAAATCAAAAAGAGGACTGCATTGTTTTTTTTCACGCAGGGCCAAAGTCGTTTCAACGCTACCTTAAAGCAATAGTTTACCATTTTTCAGAAACATGCTTATTTGCTTTCTTGCCAACAGTGAAATAAATAGGTTGCTCCCACTGTCATGTCCATATGCTAATTTTTAAGCTAGTACCAGTAGCCAATCAATCTCGCGATCCCATAGCGTCTTTTCTTCAGGCTTCATTCTTGCTCTTCGGTGTCATGCTCTTAATCTTTCGTGCATAGAAGATCAAACATTATTATGATCCCATTTCAGGATTTTTTGTTCTTTATTCTTATTTTTTTTTTTTTACAGTGCCGGCAATGAATAGTAACACACAGGTCAGAGTGCAGTTGATGATACATTGTGGGACCAACCCCCCCCCCCCTTTCTCTCCACATGTAAGACAGAAGCAAACATCAAGTGCTGTTTCTGTCTCGTCTTTTTATCGTTTTGCAGAGTTCATGCTTTTGGAATGTGTGGCGTTCGCCTGCACTCAGCATAATCCTGCCGGAGGTGGATTCTGGCTGGATCTGTTTCCAATTACAGCCGGGTCTGTACTGGCCTTTGATCAGAGTCTGAGCCGACTGAGGCAGAGGTTAGAGACCCTGTCCCGACACAGCTGACAGGCTCAGGAACATAGGGGATACTGAGCACTGAGGCTCTGGGCCAAACAGATTCTCAGTCTCTGGAGAGGAAACACAGAACCACTCCCACCATGCCAGCTTCACGTTACAGTCCCAGTGGTACAATCCCTTCATGGAAAACAGAGTGTATGCATGTGTGTGTGTGTTAAGTCCTCCTGGCCACCTCCTGAGACTTGTTTGAAGCTGGTCCCCTGTGACTTTGTCATTAAAGTTTAACTTTTTCTTAATCTTCTTAACGTTAGTGCTGTGGAGCTGATAACTTCAACATGTCGGAATTACCACCTCACGGTTGTATGCCTCCATCCATGTCTGTCCAAAATGTCATCACTTCATCATTCTATCCTATTAGATATTTGTGTGTCA